TCTGTTTTCTTCTCCTACAGCAAAAAATAATAATAATAACAATAAAGGCTCAGAAATCTCTTGACATCCAAACTGGAATCCCCTCCAAAGCAGGGAAAGAATGGAGCGCGTGAGGCTCGTCTCCAGCCCCCGTCTCTTTATTCCAGAGTCAAAGTCATCAAAAGCTATGTGCACTGACGAAAAGCCGACGTCCCGCAGCCGTGGGCCGTGCCGGAGCCCGCCGGCCGCGCGTGCTGTGCCTCCGCTCCCGGGACAGCGAGGCTGACGGCGATCTGGCGGCCCCGACCGCCCTCATTCCATCTCGGAGTTGTTGGCTTTGAACGCCCAGAGAGACTTTTCCCCTCGCCTCGCCTCGCCTTCCGCTCACACACACACTCCCACCTTCTCCCTCCCTCCCGGCTGCTCTTGGGGAAAGGCAATTGGACAGAATGATGCACCTGCTGGAAAGCAGCCTCTGCCGCCGCGTACTTCTCGAAGGTCCTGGGGTCCCCACCGAGCCGAGTGGCTGCGGAGGTTGGGGCAGGAAGGAGGAGAGGCGCTGACCTCGGCCGCTCTCCCTCCGCACAAGGCCCCGCTGCTTGTCCGGGGCCGCTGCTCTCGCGGGTGGCAGAGAGGTCCCCGCTGGTGCCCTCCTGGAGACTTTACGCGGTCGACACGAGTCCACTTAGCAGCTCCTCTTGGCCAGCTGCAGCCCCTCAAACCCCCATCCAAGTGCTGCGGGCAGAGCCCCACGTAGCCCACCCGCTGTCCCTTCAGGCATCGTGGGTCGGAAGGGAAACTCGCCGCTGTCCCCTTGTCCCCAGTGCGCTGGCACCTTCACCACTGAGGAGAAGGTTCAAGTTCCAACCCAAGAGAGCAGTTGTCGCCTTTGTCACTTAGCTAAGACAGGGGGGGAGAGAGGAAGGGGGTCTGAGAAGGAGAGGGTCGAGGATACAAATCCAGATCACCCGAAGAAAAAGGTTTCAAGTCAACCATTTAGCAACCAAACCCTGCGCTCGGCGTCCCCACCCCAAGCGCTGTACTGTTCAAAGACACCAGTGGTATCTTTTAGGAAGTCACCTTAAAGGGCACAACTCTGTTCCACTAGATCCCCTGTCCAGCAGTGCGGGCATAGTACAAGGACTGCACTCCAGGCAGGTTTAGCACCGGCAGAAC